AAACTCCTTTTAGAGTTTTAAAGCATTATGAGTGGACAGTTGTTACATTGCCTTCAATTCCCTCCTCAAAGCAATTCTTAAAGAATGCCTCAATGATTTTATTTTTTACATTTTTGTTAACATTTTTCTTTTCAAGCATAACAAACAAAGAGAGAAAGAAACATCCCCGGCTTGGAAATGGTTTTGCTCTGAATAGGCAACTAAATTGTCAGTCAGTAATGATGCTTTTATCAACTTACAATGCAGAAGCAACATTACAGTCAGCATTAACCCGAAAACCAGCTGCATAGGAGGAAATTACGACCAGGCAGTCTCTGTTAGAGAAATTGCACATTCAGAAATGGCACCAGTAGAAATCTGGTTTTGGATAAACATTGAAAGTTTTCACTTTTTTGCATTTGGCATTCCTAACGGTACGTAATTGTGAGCAACTTGCATAGTAAACGTCCAAGCTGGTCAAACCATGGAAAAGCGGCCTTCTAAATACTTTTGTTGATCATGCAGCCTTAGTTTGCAGGTGGCATGAAGTCTCCCTTTGTGATAGAAATATGAAGGGGTGTTTTTAAAAAGAAATGGACAGTACCTGGCATAGGACAACAGTCGGTAATAGTGGCCAGATGTTTAAGCACACCTGCAAATGTTTAACCACGCTCCTCCTCTATCTCCATCACACTCCAACTTTCTCACCAGCTTTTTGGTTTTTGTGTCCCATCTACAAAGCAAGTTTACAGACACATTCTGTGTTTTGTCTAAACCAGCATTCCAGCGGATAACAAAAAAAAAACTATTTTTTTTGCCTGTTTCCTCCCTTTCCCACTCAGCTGGCCCACTTTTCTGTCAATGCATTATTCCTTTTTATGGCATTCCTTCACCGCATCCCCGAGGACCCTTCTCCTGTAACAGATCTTTATTACTGTCTCTGCATTGCTTCATATCAAGTCAATATGTTCAGTCTGAGAAATGTTAGCTATGGAATGGGAACGCGGTGCTGTACAGTAGGGGGGACGTAAGGATAAGAGGGGAGGTGAAAGGGGACGAGAGAAACGCACGATGGGAGCTCAGGGCAGTAACGGGTGAAAGAGAGAGGAGAGGCTGGAATGGTGGAGGAACACATGGAAAGTAGAAACAAAGGGACGGCTCTGTAGCTCTCAGGAATGATTTAAGCCGCCTGCCTGACTTTCCAGCTCAGAGACTGGTGAGCAGACTGTGAAGAGCAGAGGACAGCAGATGTGCTCTGGCCGACGACGGATGGATTGATGTATCAATTTTATCCAGAGGCTGATGAGTAGATAGCCAGAAGTGGAGTCGTTTTTCCTCATGCGGTGTGCAGACTTCGGCCAGGCATCTGCACTTTGGATCGGAGCTCCTGATATCAGCTCGGGTCCGTTCTTCCCAACCCGAATCACATCTCCTTTCACAATCCCCCGAGTCAGTTTGTGTCTTCGCTGCTCCATCTGTAGACTTCGATCCGTACCATCAGAAACTGACCCGGTTCTCTCTGGACCAGTCTCAAAGCCACACAGACCCTGGGGTGCTGCCTCAGCCGGCAGGTGTGAGACGTTAGATGAAAAGTGTGCTTTCAATTAAAGTGTGATCGTCCACACGTCTCTCTGGCTTCTCCCACACACATTATTTCAGATATTTTCCTTCTTTTATCAGATCAGCCTAAAGTATGAACCTCTCCTGCCTTTCTTCATTGAAGCCAGAAGTTTCAGAAAAGAGTCTTTCTTTTTCAACAGATTTTCCAAATAGTTTCCCCTCTGGCTGTACGGGCTCAATTTGCAGCCTTCATAATACAGCTTCTAACAAGTTACCGCCATACGTCCTGTGTTCATTTTGGCAGAATCAAACATGATAGATTAGACACATCAGTGTGAATGACACCTCGTTCTCTCCGCGACACTCGTAAAAACCTATTGCTGCATAGGTTACCCAAGATTCAACTCCATGAAAATGCATTTTCTTACGAAACATCAGGTTTTTTGGCGCTGCCTCCGCAGTTTTCAACGCGTTTTGGCTCAGCAGAGGTTAGTTGCACCACACACTAAAGATAATTCATATTTAGGTTTATTTCACTCAGTTTGATGTTTCTACATCAGGATCACATTTTCTTTAACCCTTCTGACCCCAGTTTTGGCCCACAGACATTTTCTCAAACATCACATTTATGGAATAGCAGCTGCTCACTTTGCAGAATTATATTGACTTTTGTTAGTTTTTTAATTTTTTTTGGAGCATTTTTTTCAGTAGAGGTTTCACTTGGTACCACAGTGCGCTTTCCATAGACTGATGCTATATTTGCCAGCACGCTTCATTTCAGCTACAAATGGGCTCAGTGGCGTCTCCTGGAAAGACCCGGTGCAATCGAAGTGGTCGATTGATTGATGTACTGAGCCACAAAATGAGACACTTCCAGAGTTTTTCAGGTGCATTTGTGCATGTTTTCATTTGTTTTTAGAAACAAAACCTTATTGAGCAGCTTATTTTATTTTCCATTTTTTAGCTATGTGACAATTTCATCTTCATATTTGTTCTGAATCAAAGGGTCCAGTTGGCTCTGTCTGGTGACCTCCTCACCTCACACACTCCTCACTTATCATTTTGTCCACACTGACCTTTCAACATCTATCAGTGAATGTTGTTATTTTTTCCTCTCTGTCTCCTTCCCTGACGTCTTTTTTTGTTAATCAAACAAAGCTCTTTACCGTCTTCTTATCACTCATTAATGGCAAAAGCTTGTCTGTGGACCCAGATGAAACATTAACTTTATTTTTACATTTTGGCCTAATTCTGGCAATTCTACATTTCATTTGGAAGCAAGAAAGCAGCCAAAAGCGATCTAATGAAAGTTTAAGCAGGTACTTCAAAATCCAAATAGTTGACGGGGAGAAAAAGAGGCTCACAATGATTCTTTGTTGCTGTTTCACATACAGAGTGCACATTGTGGACGGTTGATGTATCTTGGCGCAGCTCGTGGATTTGTTGGCCGGCTGAGTGACTGACCGCCTTTTGGCTGGAAGAGTGTGTCAGTGTGGTTGGCTATCAAACCCTTCTGCAGCCGGTGCGGCTCGGCTCGGCCCTGGATCCGGTGGAAAGGCGGGATCGCTACCACCAGTAATGAAAAACAGGCCAGGGGAGGCAGCTGCTTCTTCTGCCGGGATCCTTTACCATTGTATGAAAGTTGGAATTGGTACGGATATGGTTATTCCTGCCAAAGCTGTTGGGAAGCTTGCATTTATTTATGTACAGGAGCAAAATCGTGACCTGCTTTTATCCGACACTTTAAAAAATCTTTCTTGGGAGATTTATGAAAGATTTTCTGACCACTAAACATAAAAAAAAATATTTCAGTTTTCAGTAATAAAACTATGACCTTTGAAAGTAATTGGTGTTTTGGATAGATTTAGAAAAGGGGGCAAAAAGCATGTTTACGGCAAAGTGGTGACAGTAAGGGCAGGAATTGGAATTGAGCCTTACAGTTGACCTTTTGATTTATGTATTCAGGTATTGGTCTCAGTTTTGATGGTCTTGACTGCAATGCCAGAGCTAATAATCCATTTAAGGGCAGGAGGGGAGACATGGTTAGGTCACAGGTAGGTAGAAGCAGTAACAGCATGTTCTATAACTGCCACTTAGAGAACTGATAATGAGAGAACGTTACAGGTCAAACCTTTCCTATATTTTCATGTCTGCTCTTCCATTTTTCAACCCCGATGGTAAATGTTACACCCGGCTGCTACAGCTAACTGTGTGCCTCAGTGAGACGCTGAGTGGCTGGCTGCTTGATCTCCAGCAGGCTTATGTTGAAAGGTTCCATTCAGTCAAAATGGCAGCAGAGAATGAGGGCATGTAGACTAAACAAAACTTGTGAAAGTAGAGAGGCAGTCTGATCAAAAGGGCCTCAAGCACCAGTCTCATATCATTTTATTATGCTCTTTGTCCGTCTGAGACACATCTGTTGATTACCTTATTCTTTTATCAGAGACCTACAATAATAATTTACCTGTAGTTCTTGTGGGAATAGTTTTTATCAGCAGTGTAGTCTGGCTGTGTGTCCTGGACAGTTGGCATTGAGCTGTGCTTGCTGGCCGAATGCTTTGCTCATTTCGATAAAATGCCTATCCTTTGCTACATGTTATCTGCAACCGCATATCAAATTTGCATTGCATTCATTGCCAGCTGTAATGAACTCAGAAGGGTTCAGGAGTATTTTCCCAGCCCCTGATTAAACACAGACCAGGAGTAGAAACTCTTTTGAGTGTTTGAGGCTCCTCCTCTGTGTATTTTTACAAAACCATAAAGAACAGCATGCAGAGAAGTGCATAAGTCAGCCGTTATTCCTGTGTAACCTTCAAACTGGACACACTCCCAAAGAAAACTCCAGCGTTGTTCACTTTCTAACTCTCCCCAGTCTGTTGCTCTCCTGGTATGCAGTGTCATTACTATGGCATTTTATGTTCCATGTTGCTCAAGTCAACATTCAGTAGTGTTTTTCTCCCTCTTGAAATGAACACACTCACACAGACTCAGACTTCTGCGTTTCATGACGGCATGATCTCCATTGTTGGCTGTCCAAGCCAAAGATGATTGAAATCACCCTGTATATAGGGTTGACTAGCTGTGTATTTGAAATGTAATGTTGAATTAATAGGTTCACTGTGAATTATTACTACCAATTAGTTCAGAGGATCTTTTTAAAAAGTATTTCGATCCAGACAATAGAGACATGTTCAATAACCCTTCCGACTGTTTTGAGCACCTCTCTGGAAGTGAGAAAAACTCCAAGAAGACTGAAGGGTGTTTTTTGTTCTTCTATGAGTAGAGTTTTTCAAAACCCCATCAATGGTCCACTGTTGTTCACAGCTGGCACGCTTCCCCATGATAAGCTTTTGTCATTGTGTTTGGATGAAACGTTACATTTACAATGGCCAGATGTTGCATTGTGTTAAAAAAAACATTTTGACTAAATTCTAGGCCTCTGTGTGTCCTCTGTGCTACAGGTGACCTACCTGGGCAAGGTGACCATCTCTGGAACCCAGTTCTTGTCTGGCTGCACAGAGTCGGCAGTGGTGGGTCTGATGGAAAGCCGTGCCCTCAGCCAGCAAGGTACTGCCCTTTCAAGCCACTCTCTGCTCGAGATCCGGCCTTTCCAGGTGCGCCTTCACCACCTGGACGAGCGTGGCGAGGCCTCCCTGACCATGGACACCTACCAGGTGGCTCGCATCGCCTACTGCACGGCCGACCACCATATCAGACCCAATGTATTTGCATGGATCTACCGGGAGATCAACGACGACCTGTCCTTTCAGATGGACTGCCACGCTGTGGAGTGTGAAAGCAAGCTGGAGGCCAAAAAGCTGGCACACTCGATGATGGAGGCCTTCCGTAAGACTTTCCACAGCATGCGTAGCGACGGTCGTATCCACAAAAGTGGGTCGACGGATGACTTTGCCGAGGACTCTTCCACGCCCGATGACTCGACCCCAGACGATGGTTGAACTGAAGCCCACTTAAACTCCTGAACCCCGTCCTGACAAATCGAGGGGTGGCTGGAAAGACAGATTACCAGATTACCTGATCTATTTCATTCTCCCCTGCTGTCTCTTTCTGTAGTTTGGTACAAAATTAACTGACCCCTTGAAACGGTATACCGCCCAGGTTAGTGAAGTAGATAAAAAAAAAAAACGAAAAAAAAAAAAGGAGTACAATGAAGGTACATGAAACAGAGTTACTAAAGATAAGTCACATTTTACACACGGGGAGGTGGCAAAGCGCTGCCTCTGGGAGTAAAGGCCCCGGACAGACCCTTTAAAGGCTTTGGGCACTGGGGTCTCCAGCTCCACTGTGATCACCCCCCAGCAGATCTACTCATTTGTATTTAAAGCACTGTTAATTTCCACACCAGTCACAGACTGTTCATGCTTCCAAAGCCTTTTCATCAAGGAAACAAATATAAGAAGGTTTAGTCATGTCTTTATCTAATCCCAGTCAATAATAAACTGTTGCCCTTCTTGCCATTTAGGGACTCAGCAGAAATACGCTGTGACCTTTTTTCCCCCCAGAGTTTATGAGACTGTTGAAACACATAAACTCTGAAAATTGCTAATGATGTGGATTATATTGCCTTCAGCCTTGATCAAATGCAGATGTGGCTGTGAAGTCTTTAAGCACTACTGTCCGCCACGGTACCTGATCCTATTAGCACCAAAACGATTCGCTGAGCATGGATGATGGAGCTCGCCCCCTCCTCCTGTGTCTCCATTTAATCGGCTCTGAAAGATTCTACGCTATGATCAAGGCACCTGGGACAATATAGGTGCTAAATAGTTTCTGATTACAGAGATGTCTCGGGGCCTGGAAGCCTGGGCCTGTCTGAGACACCTTCATCATCCACATCCGACTTCTGTTTTTGATTATACCAAAATCCAGGCTGCATTTTGCCAGTCAGACTATGTGCCTCACGTCCCTCTCAGCATCCCAGCGTTTACATGTGGCCACGTGTGCTTTTATGTTTTTCTCCGTGTGTGTAGGTGTAATTGCTTACTTCTGTACTACATGTATATGGATATACGGCTGATTACCCCGTATCTTGGCGTGTTCCAGAGAAAAACAAGGTGGAAGGTCCGGGGAGAAAAATATGTGTTCAGCTAAAAGTGAAGACTTTACTTTTGCCCAAGAAGCATCGCTTGTGTTTAAAGACACGATTTCAAATCAGACATGGTATCAGTACTGTGATCATTTGCCACGCTTCCTTACTTTTCTCTCGAATGAAATGAAAACAAAAAGATTGAGTCTGTATGTGCCAGTCGCCGCTGTGATGGGACCATGAATCACTGCCTTTTACGTAAACAACTCACACCTCCTGGCCTCTGCTGAATGTATGAGTCCGACGTACTGTGAGCGCCTCGTCACACGTCCCGTCAAGTCAGTCTCCCATGATCTCCTCACGCTATCACACGCCGCTGAGGGGAGCGACTCTGCTCTGGAGGCAATGAGAGGGTCCCGTGTGCTGGCCAGGATGAGAAGGCACCTTCTTTTCTAACAGGACTGTACCGGACAGGCCGGATGCCATCAGTGGAAGCCGTCTTTGGCCAGACATAATGATCTTATGGCTCTGATCAGCAAACGCAGATTCATAGACAAACATAGATACGAATATACATACTGTCTGTACACAAATTGTATTTGAATCTCGCTCAATAAGCTTATGTAAATACAAATGTATCACTTTCAAAATATTACAGCATAAATATTGATAGCTATTTTAAATAATAAAAAAATGTTGAGAACCATCACACGATGCCGAAACAGTGTAATGAAGCCTACTGTGAATTATAAGAGGAGAGCCTGGTCGCAAGTCTGTTTGTGTGTGTGTTTTTGAAGAAACCTGAATGTGGTGGGCTGTGTTGTGTAAGGACAGGCTGGAGAGGTGAGAGCATTTGTGCCATGTCTGTCTGACGGCTCAGACACGCTTTAAATGTTCGGAGAAAAAAAACAAAACAATTGTTGCCATGAGTGTTTTCTATACAGTGTTTGCAAAAATCAAAACGCAGTTGCATATAAAGTATTTACCAAGACCAAGAAGGTGTGGTCTGTTTTGTCTCAAATCCACATCACAGCTCTCCTCCGTCATATATTTCCCCACAGCCACCAGATCTGGGCTAAAAGAGGTTTTTATTCTGTAAACTCGGCTGGATTTGAGGTGAACGGATTCCCCGCAGCTGTGGCAGCGTGTGGGAGGATAAACACCAGGCATGTTCAATTTCAAAGCAGACACCACCAGTCAGTCTCATGATGTTCTGAAAAATGTGCCCGCACGGATGTAAAGCACGACCCCGGTTTTGGCGTGTCCCACCGGAAACGGGGTTCCAAAAAAAAGTAAAATCCGTTTTACAGATGTGACGAAGTGACTGAGATGGGGTTTTACCGTCTCCCCCCCTTCTGGTACCATCACTCCTCCCCCTGTGTGGTCGCAGTACCCGGAAAAAAAAACCCCATAAACAAAGTTTTATGGTATTTCCAAACACTCTCCAGGTTTAAGTGTGACACAGCCAATGAGAGAGCTTTTCCTTTCTCATTCCTGACATTCCTCCGGCTCCCCTCAGATCTTTTATTTTTTTATTGTGTTGTTGTGTTCCTCCCGGTTGACAGAATGTGGCCACCCCTCCTCTCTTCAAAGTGCCCACATCAGTGGCCAGATAACTGGCGGCTCTCGGCTTGTGTAACTGGCCATCATTTTGCAGCTTAAGAGCTGCAGAGAATTAGATGCAAAATGGATGCTGCGCGGGATGTTAATGTGTGTCGAATGAGAACACTGCCTCCAACTGGCAGGCACGGCCACTGCCTCTGAATTGTCGGATGTGAATACTGGATGGACGCTTGATGTTTGAAAACGGTGTCAGCCAAACCCCGTCCACCCCTCCGTCTTCCACATTTCTGTCCACGGGCGTCACCGTTTACGCGCCTTTGACCTCGAACTCTCGACTAGTGTACGTCCTCCCATTACACCAGCCCGTGCCCTCCTGTGTGTGTGTGGCTGACCCACTTCCAACAGCGCGTAAGAACAGAGAGAGAGGTCCTCCGGGGGGGTGCCTGGAAAGAGGCCCCCCGGCCGCCTGCGTCTGGGCTTCCAGCGGGGCATCGGTCACTCAGTCAGCTCACAATACCACTCTGTTGCTCCTCCAGCTGGCCGCCTCTCCTCCACCCAACCCCTCCAACCGCCAGTCTTTCCACCCGTGAAAGGCCCACACTCTCGAGGGGAGGAGGGGGGCGCCAACATGGCCTCTGATCAGACTCCTCTCTTTCTATCTACGCCTTTGTTTTCCTTCTCAGCCGCTGCCCCTCAGAGTGGCGGGCCCCGGCCCCTCGGAGCGAGCGTGTGGTGGAGTACTGTAAACATGTGCGAGGAGCACATGCGTGAAATGGACCAGGACCTGTCCACATTCTTTCGGAACCCCCGGGCCTCGACTGTAACGGCGTGGCTTTCGTTGCGTGAGAAGAAGCGATCGTGTGGTGAAACGCGGTGGAGGCTGAAGAAGTCCGACTGCAGATAGACGGAGGAATGATAGTTTTTTTTGTAGACGCGCCAAAAAATGAACAGTATGTTCACAATAAGAACAATAACCATTTTATTTCCAGGTTTTTTTTTAGAAAAAAAACTTTGGGGCAGGACATTAAATGATAGTTGTGAAATTAGAGGGAAAATATCCAATCAACATCTGTTGTTGATTACGCAGCAGTGATAGAAATATTGCAAAAAAGAAATTTAGCATAGAAAATGATAGGAAAAGTGCTTTAAAACAGTGAAGTGCACTGAGGTGCAGAGTAATGCTTTCACCAAACCGGAGGAAGAATGATCTCTTTGAGACATACAAAGCATTTCCTCTGATCATGTCCAGATCCTCTCTCATCCCGGCTTGTTGATGGGCCCCTCAGGCCCTTCCATGATTTAAGATTCCTGCTGTAATGAAATGTGGACTGGACTTAACGGGTTGTGTGCCTGCGCAGGGATTCCAGACTTTCTGATTTGTAAAGCCCGGAGCATTTGCTGTTGTAAAAAAACAGAAAAAAGTCACAAAAATGCTGTCCTGAGTCCCTGTGGGGGAGACGAAAAGTCTGGATCCAAGAGGACCTTGTCTGAGCACAAATGAAAGTCTGAGAGAAGAAGAATCAGTGTCTCCCTCTCTATTTCTCATTATTGGATAGGATGATACAGTCATATTCCATTAGATAAAAAACGATTTAATTAACATGACAATTAGCCTGATCAAATCCCCATGAGCCTGACAGACACATTGATTAGTGTAACAGTAGAACCTGAGAAGAGGAACTTTCCACAGATGTGACTGCAAACCCGGAGCATGTGTGTTTCGTTTCAGAAGTTGTTTTTCACGGCCGTCTGGCTGAAACAAAGACTCTCTAATCGGTTAGTGTATTTTGATTTCTGCCAAATTGAAATGTAAACAGCACCTTCTGACCGCGTTCGCATCATCTGGACTTCAAGGCCATCCTCTGTTTATACTCAAAAGTCCGTTTCGCGCAGTTTAATGTCAAACTTCACGGCAGGGAGGAAGCAGCGAGGAGACATAGACGATAAAAGATATAAATAGCAAAGAATGAATGCGGAGAGCTGTGGAAAAAAGAACAACGAGGAGCCTGCAGGGGAGAGGAGAAGCCGCAGCACATCTGGCTGGCCATGTTGCGCCCAGATGTTGAGGAGAGAGAGTTGGATAATTCCTCCTCTGTGGCATGGCGGCCACGCCAGGCAGCGCGGAGTCTCAAGTAAATGATGTCACAGACAAACCATGCACATCTTTAAACAAAACGATAAAGACAAATAAACATTCTCTTTGTAGCTTTCGAGACCCAGTTCAAACACGTCAAACCATGAAGCTGAATGAGCGTTGTCTCCTTTGTCCACTTGGTGTCATCGTTGCTCAGCTTTTGCAAAGATGTATTCCAGCTGCTGCTGCTAAAACACACAATAATTCTGAATTAA